AAAACTTAGGTTTTAACACCTGGGAAGTAAATGGTTAGCTTTATGTTTGAATAAAATATGTTTTGCATTGTATTCCAGGTCTGAGAAAAATGCTGAACACATAATAGATACTCAGTAAATATGCGTTTGATTAAATCACTTCTTTTTTAAGCTGTCCCTAGAGGAGACCAGTTTTAAAAAATCCAGGTGATCTGATTTGGGCATCTTCAATATACATCTATATTGAGAGATGATTATCACAATACGGTTATTTAGCATACCTATTAACTCACATAATCATGTGTGTGTGTGTGTGTGTGTGTGTGCTGAAAATACATTGGACTATTCTCCTAACAAGGCTGGTTTGTATACATGAAGCTTATTAACTACAGTACTACAGTCACCATGGTATATTTTACAGCCTCAGAACTTATTCATTTCACAATTCACAGTTTGTACCCTAAGAACAACATTTCATTTCACACAAAACGCTAGCCTGTGGCAAAGGACATTCTACTAGGGTTAGCTTTTAGAGCCTATTTGTAAGTAATATCATACAATTTTTGTCTGAATTATTTCACTTAGTACAGTGTTCTTGAGGGTCACTCATATTTATCACAAATGGCAGATGTACACCTTTTTATGGCTGAATAATATTCCATTATAGACCTATAATACATTTACTGTATCTATATAACAGTAACTGTCCATATAAACACTTAGGTTGTTCTATGTATTGACTATTATGAATAATGCTGCGATGAACATGGGCTGACAGATGTCTCAGATACATGTTTCCTTTGTGGATATATATCCACAGTGGAATTATTGGATCATTTGGTAGTTTGTTTTCAGGAACCTCCATACAGGTTCCCAAATTGTTGTATGAACTAATTTCTTTTTTACTTCTAGGGGAGAATCTATTCCCTTGACATTTCCAGCTACAAATACTCCCCTTCATTCCTTAACTTATGACCCTTTTCTTTATCTTCAAATTCAGCATCTCAGAATCATCAGATATCTGAGTTTGAAAATCTGAACTGTCTCTTCTTATAAGGATCTTAGTGATTACATTGAGGCCACCAGATAAACTACAACATCATCCTTAAGCATCATCATCCCTGCAATGTCCTTTTTGACATGGAAGGTAACAGAGCCACAGATTTCAGGGGGTAGAATATGGCTATCTTTGAGGAGTCATAATTTGGTCTACATAAAAACATTAGAAGCAAGGGCCCTCCCTGCTTGCCCAGTGGGTTAGGACGCAGCCCTGCAAGCTGGCCGCAGCTGCTTCAGTGCCAGTTTGATCCCCACCCCAGAGGTGACCCACGTTGTGCAGCAGACCTCCCCTGACTTGCCCACTGCTCCCCTCAGCAGTGTACTTCATCGATCTGCCTGTTCTGCTCCCCACTCTGTCTCTGCACTCCTGCACCTCTGGCTTGTACCCCAGTTCTGTATAAATAAATAAATCTTTAAAAAAAATAGAAGCAGGTTTAAATTGACTTTGAGTTAATCCTTATGCATCAGTTCACTTTGGGGCTAAAGAATATGTGAGATAAATTAGCTAGAAAATGAGAAAAACATTTTTAATGGAGAGTTTGTATACTATTATTTTCTATTGGAGATATTTAAGTTAAGTGTTAAAATTCTTTTGATATGAATGCATTTAATGATAGCTGGGTAACAATAATAAGCTGATAACATTCTGCCAGTAGCAATATTTTGATAAGCCTAATTTTTATTGAAATTGTATTTTATATTAAAGAAATTATTCTTGGCAGCATCTTTTGCTATATTTGCATCATTTGTTAAAGAGTACTATTTAAAAAATAATTCAGAGCTAGATAATAATTTTTCCTTTTTATAATTTATAATATGCACACTTTAATAACAGACATTTGAACTTCTCAAGCTTCTAAATGTATAGATTTGTTTTTTCAAGGTATAGTTGTTTCTCTGTAAAATTGAAGGTATAGTGAATAAAACTGCTGTGAAGATTTAATGAGATGAGATATGTAAAACTGTAGTACAATTGCTAGCCCATAATAAGGATTTCAATAAGTTTTTAGCCCAATTCATCAATTACTTCACAAGATTGCTCACTAATATTGAAATATATTTCTATAGACACTGTTAAGTTATTAATACCTTGGGTGTTGATTTTTGCTAAACTTACCAATTTTAAATATTTGGTTGCTCTACCTAATAAATGTTGAACATGAGCGTCTAATTCAAAAAAACTCCATTTAATTGAAGACTGTGATTTGTATTATAATTAACTATTTGGTAACATTATTACAAGAGTACATAAGATGAAACGTTTTTTTAGAATCTACTTAAATGTACTAGTAAATTGTGAGGAAAACTTTTGTCAATTTCACATTTCTCTATACCACATTCATGGCTAAAGCTAAACTATTCAAAAGATCAACTGAAAGCAAATTTAGAAGTTGCCAGCACTTTAAGAAATGAAAGTCCCTGTGGACCTACAGGTTAAGTCTCAGCGCTCCCACCACCCAACTCAACAGCAGATCTCCCTGTTCTGCTCCCCACCCAGTCTCTGGTGAATCTTCTCAATCCCCTTCACCTCTGGCCTACACCCCAGTTCTTCTAAGCAAAAGTGAATAAATAAAAACTTTCTTAAAAAATAGAAATTCACAAAGTAAAAATTTTCAGTGACAATAAATTAAACGTGGTATTGCACTATTTCAAATTTCCTTCTACAATTATGTTGCTATTTAACTCATTTTGATTAAGTAATATTCCAGTGCTTTAAGTTTCTAATTTTTGTTGTGAATTTGTCCAATTATCTCCATCATGTGTCCTATGTCTCCCTGACAGACTATGACATAAGCCCTGCTGGGGGAATTACTAACAAGTTCAAAATGAAAAGTCATTATTAGTACCATGTCGCCTGCAGTGAGTGCAAGGCTCTCCTGCTTGTGCAAGACAGTTTATCTCCATCAAAGAAATATAGGCATTTAAATGAGATATTATGAGCAATAGCACTGTAAGCTTACTTTAATTTACCTTTTTAGTGATTTTTTTTTTAAAGATTTATTTATTTGTGCATACAGAACTGGGGTACAGGCCAGAGGCTCAGGGGCGGCGAGAGGCTTCACCAGAGACAGAGTGGGGAACAGAACAGGCAGATCAACGAAGTACACTGCTGAGGGGAGCAGCGGGCGGGTCAGGAGAGGTCTGCCACGCCATGTGGTCACCTCCGGGGCAGGCGGGAATCGAACTCATGCGGAAGCGGCTTTTGATTCTCAGTGCTGTGCTTTAACCCGCTGCGCCACCAGGGAGGGCCCCTTTTTAGTGATTTTTAAGGTCAAAGAAATATAAAAAACACATCTTAAAAATCAAAAACACGTCTATTTGTATTAGCTGCTCTATAACTTTCACACAAATATTTCTTTGACAACACAATTTCCAAAGTCATAGTTTTGTATGTCCTTAGGGTAACATCAAGTAGTCATTCATAAGCTAAAACGATGTGCACAGTCTTCTGCACTATGAAGCCAAATGCAGATTGAGAGCCAAGTGCAGAGGGTTTTCTCATTGCTGAAGAGAGGTTAATTTTTAAGTGTTTTCACTTTGTCAAAGTACTCCTGACTTGTGTGCCGCAATCATTGATACTAATGATGTTTATGTAGTTAGAAGAAAATAGCATGTTTTCTTATCATTTCAGTACCCAGTGTCTTTTTTAATTACAACAAGCAAATCTAATTATTTCTTCTGATTAATCTCAATAGCTGAATAATTCCTTTCCTGGCAAAGTGAATCCTAAATGTTTTCATAAGACTTTTTTTCATAAGTCTACCTGGTCTGGTAGGGTAAGTCAAAGAAAATAGATGAAGTTCTAGTACATGGACAACTGAAATAATAAACTAAAAGATTGTTTCAACATTTTAAATGCATTATTGTTTTCAACAGAACCTGTAAATCTGAAATACCTCCTCCCACTGTAAAATCCTGTCTTCCTCCTCTTCTCAACCCCCACAGAACATCCACCGAATTCCTCTCAGGGTGTTTCTTCTTTTTTATGCATTTATTGGTCTGACTGTTTTATGACCCTTCATATACACTGAGCTCTCTGTGTTGCCCACAATACTTAACCCTATTCCTTAAAGAATAATATCTAACACTGAGTTCTCACTATGTGCTGGATTCCATTCTAACTTTTTCTAGCATATTAACTCCCTGAATCTTTACAGGAGATGACATAGGTTGCACTAGTATCTTTACTTTAGGAGAAGGAAACACGCTCAGAACAGTTCACTAACATGGTCACTGTCACATGGACTTCAGGTGCCCAAGCCTGAGTCCAAGTTGAGCTTTAGAATCTCCAGACACAACCCCCAGGCCTGTCTCCGGGGACCTTAGGCAGTGAATCTCATGAGCAGAATCTCAGAGCACCAAGTTACTTCTAACCTTCGCCACTCTTAACAATAGTCCTTTCCCCATCTCTACTCGGCTAATGACTGGTCCTCCCTCTGGGCCCAAAATATATTAAGAGACTCCAGAGTAGCAGATCAATGAATAATAGCAACTATATTTATGAAGCTTTAACCAGATGCCAGACATCATAATTTAACAACTTCAAATATTCTATGGGATGCGCACCAATTTGCCGCCACAGAAGAGACATAGAAGCTAAAACAGAAATCTGAGTTTAGAGGACTTGTTCAAAGTCACACCTGGGCAATGGTAGAACCAGGGCTAAAACTCAAAGTTCAAAGTCCAGAGCTGAGCTCTGAATGATCAAAGAATGGGTTAATAGAAACACAGCCTGGAGAGAGGGAAAGCAGTGGGAGGTGATACCTGACTTCAGTGGAAAGAAGAGAAACAGTTGTCTAGACAGAGGAAACAAACAAGTGGATAAAATAATTCAGAACAGTATTCCTGGCACATAACAGGTTCTCAATAAATAGGAATGAGTATCTTTCTAGCCTTAAGTTCAAAGGTCTTGCACATAGAAGTGTTTATTACTAACTTCTCTGCACAATTCTGTCTTGCAGTGCCACCGTGGGCCTTAATTGCCATAGCCATAGTTGCAGTCCTTTTAGTCCTGACCTGCTGCTTTTGTATCTGTAAGAAATGCTTGTTCAAAAAGAAAAACAAGAAGAAGGGAAAGGAAAAGGGAGGGAAGAATGCCATTAACATGAAAGATGTGAAGGACTTAGGGAAGACCATGAAAGATCAGGTAATGTATTCATTCTAGATTTCTTACTGGATGATTTTATTGAAAGTAAATGGCTGGTTATTTTATGCTAGATAAATATAAAAATAAATAAATTCTGGACACAGGCCTTTGTTGCAGAGATGGTTAGCAATCCTTCCAGTCATTAGTCAATATCCCAAAGTGCAAAAGAAACATGTGAAGGTTGTCTGGCCTCCTAATCATAGAACCAGAAAAGGACATCCTTGGTCAGCAGGGCCATCTTGATGGATGCAGCATTTCAAAATGATGACTGAATGTTTTTATCATCTGTTGAGCCCATCTTAATTATGTTTAGAGCTAGGGAAACCAAATAAAGATTATCTAAGTGTTCTTCCTTTTGGACAGGATACCTATCTAACATTTTCAGTGTTCGCAATCACTATTAGATAATGGAGTTTAACAGCTGTTAAACACAGTTGCTGAGAGCTACCATTCCTATATCCAGACAACTCAATAATTTCATTTCTCAGGGAAAAAAAAATAAAACCAGTCTTGTTGTATTTCAACACTCTCCATAATGTTATATAGGGAGAAGAAGAGAAATGTTAGTTGGCCAAAAAAAAAACAGGCAAGTTTTAAAGCATAATTCTTCTTTCCTTTCTTAGACCCATTAAAATCACAGGTCAGCTTATAAAATCCATCTGGCTGGTTATCTTCCTTTGATGGAAACAATTTCTGTTTTTACTACATTATTTGGATGATTTGGTTCAGAATAAAGTTTCTTTAGTAGTAATAATTACAATTATTAAATTCCTTTTCATTTATTTTTGGGAATCATATTCTTATTGGATATTTGTGAACACTTAATTCATAAAAAAATGTGAATTTAAATATCATTTTCAATCATAAATATTTTCCATCAAGTAATTCAAAATTTCTACTTATTCCCAAATAGCAACATATGACAGCTTTATGAATTCTTCTTATAATATCAATTACTATTAATTGAACTCAAACATGTGGATTCACTTAAGAACAATTTAATCAAGGAAGACCTTTTTAGCATATGTTTGGTGTTCTTAGTAAGCATATACTCAAAGACTAAACTTTCTCCACAGCTTGAGTTTCAAAGTCCCCTAAAGAAACCTTAATGTCTATTGAAACAATTTCATAAAAGCTTATATTAACTTGTCCCTTTTTTGTTTGGTTTCAGAGCTATATAATGTCCATATTGCCTGTGCTCATACCCAAAGAACATTATCTTCAACTCAGTAAAATAAGGGTGACATTTTTCTGGAAAAGTATCTAATCACTAATCACATTCACATAAGTCTATGTACAAATTCAAATGAAAATATCCAATAAGGATATTTCCTTGGTGAATTCACTACATAGAAACTGAAAATTTTAAACCAGTCTTGTTTTATTTCACCACTCTCCATAGTAAACAGGACTTTATACACATTTCTTTAGAAAATTTACAGTGAGATTAGTATAGAAATAATAGGTATTGATTGGATAATATGTACATGAATTTCCGCTATATCTGTGAAGCAGCAATTTGAAAATACTGTCATGTTCAAGACTACTATAAAATTTAAATGTGGTTTTCCTGTATTAAAATTAACAAAAGCACTGAATAATGTTAAATTGTATCTATAACATTTTCTTTCTAGGACAAGAAATGTCTACTGTTATTTGTGCAATTTGTTTTGTATGACATAAGATTATAATTTATAGCACAGTAGTAATGTTTATGAACCCTGTTATGACCTGGATAAATGACCAAGGTGTAAGAATGAAAACAGAGAATTGATGATAGTTAATTTTTTATTGATCATAGAACCTTGCAAATAAGGAAGGGAAGAAAGAAAAAAGTGACTCAAATGAGAAAATATGAAGACGTTAGGAATAATTCATAGTAATCTACTGTGAGAACATAGGCTTTAGAATTTCAACCACTCAAAAGGTATTTTTACATTTTAAATAGATCATCTTGTCAATAAAGGATAGTACAAGTCTTATTTTATGAACAAGTGAGTGTACAGAATGAAATATAATTTGAGTAACTGAAATTAGGCCCCATTGGTGAGCACTTATGCAACAGTAGTTTATACTACTTTTTAAGGCAGACAAAAGTAGCTAATCAGGGATGCTTTCATTTTATGAAGAAAAAGGATGAAGCAGTGAAATAGAAGGTGCAGGTTTGAAGATGCTGAGTCACATGGTAATCATCAGGTCACCCAATTCAAAACAGTGTAAGCACAAAAGATAAAAACAGTTCACAAATAATTATCTTTCAACTTACTTTGAGCAGAATATGGATGTAAACACAGGGAAGATATATAGTCTATGCTTTTCTCATCTCAAAGCAAGACAGATGTGAGAGACATTTTGGATATGATTTCAAAGGCATCAAGACTGGAGGGAAGTCGATTAGTTTTTACCATTTCAATGCACATAAGTCTTACAGATATGCAAATTTCAGTGTTCATGGCTATACACCTCGATGGGGAGAGTTTTAACCCAGGGGCTAAAAATTTTCTGCAGTGGCAACCAAAATGTTAGCTCTGGATAGAGTGTTTATAATAGAGCGCAGGCCATAAAGTTTTTTAATGCTTGAAAACACTAAAAACGCAAGAGGAATAAAACTGGTAAAGTCACAGGTCTGGAAAGGTCATTTCTCCATGGTTTTCACTAATCGTGTGGATATTTTAATTTGTATTTCTTCCTTCTATGTCCTCCTTATCTGTGTTGTATCTCATGACTGTTCTGGACTGTCCCTTGCGGTAGGTTTCCTCTGCTCCTTAGACACCCTAGTCAACGCTCGGATACATTTAGTGGCCTGGCACTGGGGCTCCACAGGCAAGGTGTACCATTCTGACACACATCAAAAGGCTGAATTAAGTTGATTCTCTTTTTAAGTGTTTTCATTTTAAACATTACTAACTGATTAAATAGAATATTAGAAAGCTCACATTTTAAAATGACAGGGAACGGAAAGAAAATTCAAGCCCTTGTGCTACCTATCAAATCCAAATCTGAACAATTTAACCTACAATGAACAAATTCTCCTTATGATGCTGTGAACTAAGCACCTTTTGAATGTCAAAGCAAGCCACAAGCATGAGCACTGAAATCTCTGAAATTTAAAACAAGGTCTGACGTTCCCAGCACAGCTTTTTCGATTTTAATTTATCAAAAAATTAAACTGCTCTGAACTGCTGGGTTTACAAGCTTTTTTCTTCTGCATTTTATTCTGAGAGGGGGGGAGAAAATATTCCTCTTGAGGTATTATAATAGCTACTGATTTAATAGGTCTGAATTTAATGTGATGGTACAGAAAATGTCTTGCTTAAGCTTAGCCTTTGGGACAAGAATAGGCTTAATCACTTCAGTGATGAATAGTGGCACTGAGAAATTATCAAAAATTTAGCCCTATTTCATGCAGAATAATTGCAGAGATGGTCTTGCACCTTTTATTAGGGCAAAAACCACTTAGGGAGAAGGAGTTTTAATATCTCAGCTATTTCAAATTGCACTGGACTGAAACATGATATGAAAATTGTCAGTTTTAAAAGAGTCTTTTGAAAAAGTATTTTAATCAATCCTCTATTATTATGATAGAGAAATGTGCAGATTTTTAGAAATATGTATTAGTTTTCTATTAAAAAAAAACACTAGAATCTTACAGGGGAACAAATTACCTCTACTGCAATTTCCTAAGCACATATTCTGTGACCATATTAAAAACATATACACGGTTAAGATTCTGAAAGGGCAATGGGATTCCACTGAATAAAGTCCTCTAATTAAATTCAGTCTTGTCACTTTACTAACATGTTCCTTTTAATGACACTCTAAGTTAAATAAAAAAAAACTAATACAGATTTTCAAATAATTTTTCTGTTTCTTTGGCTATCAGTGCATTAACACTTTACTCTTCAAGGAAACAGTGGATCATCCAAGTGCAATTAAACTTCCCAAATTAAAAGATGTGAAGCTAACCAGATTAGTGAAAGTCTCTAAATAAATAGGACAATTTTCCATTTTCCAAATTCATTGCAGATTCCTCAAAATGTTCAAGAAGCACAAAAGGAAGTACCTCTATCATTCAATTCTATTTATGTGACTTTTCCATCCAAATGAATTCTGTCAAGTGTCAGCTTTTAAGAATCCGTTTGGAGATAGCTAGGTAGATCCAAATTGGAACATCTGTGACTCGAAGGCCTGGGCTATTATTTTGAGGCACTTCTGAGGATCTCTGTGAATGGATGGATAGATAAAGATGCTTGCTTTTTGGCAAGGAAAAAAGATCATGTAGTCTAAGTGGGAGGAGAATGGGTGCAGGAGATGTAGGTAGTTTGACTGATGCCTGTCTGAAGCCTGTTTATATATCTTGGATTTGAGTTCTACAAAAACTTTAGAATTCAGTTTAATTGCTGACAGTTTAGTTAAGGATTTCTTTACTGTTAAAGATATAAAATAGTCTCCCATTCACATCTTAAGTCCTGTAAAATCCTACAGACTACGCATAGTGAAGAAAATGCCATAACCAAAAATTAGACAATTATTATTGTATATAATAATGATAGCAATGTTGAGATCACTCAAGTAGAAATGGTCTCTACAATCAGTAAGAATTAAATAGAAAAGTTAGCAAAAAAATGTATATGCATACAATTTTAACATAGGATAGCTAATCATTTAAACTCACTAATGGCCAAGGAAAAGGACATCTTATTTTTAAGTTTGAGTAATTATATAGAGTTCTATTTTTTTTTAATTTTTAAGGCAGTAAATACATATTCCTGGAAAAAATCTAATATTCATAATTTAGAACCTTTGGTATTTGAGTACACTTCTTGCACTTACTAGAAAAATGCATTTTATATATATATTTTTAAATAAAGAACATTTGAAAGTTACTCATATTTTATGAAATAATGAGCTTTCTAGTATTTCAATTGATATTACAGTTGTGTTTTAGTTTATAAAAATATTCAATTGATCCTAATTGAGTTTTGAGAGTTCAATACCATGATTTTTCTTTATAAGTGCAACAAATTATCTTTACTAATTTCAGTTTTTGACAAGATTACAAACAGAACTCCTCTCTGCTTTTGACAACAAATAGATCTATAAATCAATTTAATTCAGCCTAGCTTTCTGTGGAGCTGCTATGAAAATGAAATGGTAAACTTGACGGGAAATGGAATACACTTTTCTCTAAACATGCATTTGCTGGTGGCATGTTTCTTTTTCTCTTTTTCCATAACCATTACAAATGTATATATGAAGCATAAGCAATTACCGTTTTCTGAGAATCACATACTCAACTATCTTTTTTATAGGAAGCAAGGAAAGAAAAGGCCAAATGTTTTATATAAATTACTCCACTGCATGTAACATAGATGTTCTACATGATGTTTAGCATCTCTTTAAACTACATGAATGTGACTCCTGGCCTGGTTAATAGCATGTTTATCAGATTATAAATGAAGTAGTTTTATCAGAACCAAATATAAGACCAAATTGACATTTCTTTACAAGACCTTACATTTTTTGCTTGCAATATTCTGAGGGGCTTCTTCCATTGCTTCCATGCTGCTTGCTGATTTGGGGGGAGGGGTAATTCCGTGCATAAATGGAATTCAAAAAATATATGTAAGCAGCAAATGTGAATGTGTGTCAGACAAACCGATTTCTAGCATCTTAGTGCTTGCTTCAACAGCTTGGAAGTATTACCACAGGCCCGGTTTAATTTGGGGTTTGATGAAAATTCACTTGGTTTCACTCTGATCCATTTCCCTACTCATAGGCCCTTAAGGATGATGATGCCGAAACTGGATTGACAGATGGAGAAGAAAAAGAAGAACCCAAAGAAGAGGAGAAGCTGGGAAAGCTTCAGTATTCACTGGATTATGATTTTCAGAATAACCAGGTCTGAGGGGGCAACTGTCTTCTAATTCCATTACACTTTCTGAAATTACCAAGTAGGAATTGAAGCAAGATAACTTCTTAAAACATTTCGTTTGCTGCGAGGGGAAAATGCAATTATCAAAGCTATTGATGAAATAATTTCTAAGTACAGGCAGTCCCCTACTTGCTAATTTAACTTCTTGTAATTAGAATTCACAGTATTCAACCGATTACATCTACTTATGGCACTTACAGCAAGCGAGCAGAATACAAATTAAGTTGAAGCAGTCAGTCTGATTCTGAGAGCTCCCAGCCTGGCTTGATCAATCCTCCTCCAACTTCATAGATTTAGATCCAGGGCGTGGGTCTTCTGTGTTAGACCACCATCAAAGTCAAAGTTTTGGTCTCCTTGATATCAAAAGTGAAAAATGTACTATTGTTATGAATTTCAAAGACAGGAATGCCTTATATGAAATCATATTAAAAGCAGTGTTCTTGAGAGCAAGTCTAAAAGTAGAAAGCCCAGCAACTTGATCTCCAAAGGCCTAAGACTGTTGTGCCAGCATGACAGAGAACTAAAGAAGCTAAGGAAACAGGTATTCCTCCTCCAGAATCCATGACATTGATGAAGATGTCTCCTTACCCTCTGAATTGTTAAAAGAGTTTTTAAAAGCTAGGTAAGAATGACTAGGAAAGGGCCGAGTTCAACATCACATTCTGAAGAATCCTTAAGACAAAGTCCTTCTTGAAGAAAGGTAGTTTTAAATCTCTCCAGTTTACTTTGCTTTACTGATCTTTCTAGGTGAGTAAAAAGCAATCAACATAGATAGTTACTGCTAAAGTAGCACATGTTATTTACAGTTTGATAAGGAATAAACAATATATAAATCATACACCAATGCTCAGCTTTGACAACTAATGTCCCAAGTCAGTAACACTGTAAGACATCTAAGCAGAAATTCTGGGATTTTGGAATTGACAGTTTTAAAAAAATGTCTTCATTTTAAGTTTCCACGGGATTCCTCTTTTGGGATTCACTGATATATTCTAGCATATTAAAAATAATTTATCAACTTCATCATAGGTTAGACTGGTATTTCATAATAATCTAGAGAGTTATATACTGTTTCATAGGTACAAGTATATATTTATGGATTTATATAGGATATTTCAGCACACTTCTATCACTTTTCTATAAATCATCAAGACACAGTTGGGAGTAAAACTTCCTATTAATTATATATATACTAGGAAAGGTCAACATGTTGGAGCCACTGGAAGATAACAGTCAGGCAATGTGGAGACAGAGATTCAAGATTTAATTTGGGCTTCAGAATACCTGCCAGCCAGGACCAATACCCTCTAAGAGTGTGGCCTCAAGCAGTTACAGAAACCAGTTTTCATACACTACAGGCCAAGGAAATGAAATTCAGTTGTTACAGAGATACCATTCTTGTAGTGGGTCCTAGGATCATATGATCTGATCATATGACCCATATCCTGGTCTTGTTGAAGACAGTAATCAATTTAATCAATCTTACAAGTTTTCTTCCTCTTACAGTAAACTTATTTGGGAAATTTCCTATCTCAGCAAGCAGCAAGCAGGATACAGAAACAGAAAAGGCAGTTAGCACAAAATGGCATTAGTTTGGTTCAATACAGGTCCAACAAACATATAATCTGTTTTATAAATATCTACCTGCCTTCATAAATGTGTCCAACATTTTTCTATTTATTTACCCTCCCTTCATATTTTCCAGTTGACATCTAGTCTTGGTTAGTCACAACTTTGAGACTTCTAAGTTTACTTTCAGTATTATAAAGGATAATTTATATAAGGCAGTGGTTTTAACAAATAGCACTGCTTTTTTTTTAACCAAATTTGATTGCATTACTATTCCCTTCCTAGCAAATATATTTTAAAAGATTTCCTTCTGATGATCCAGAACATTCTGCATGATGATTTTTTTAATACTATGCATTGATTTTTCCAAAAGTTTATAGAAAATCTGATTTGTAAAATGACCCCTATGTGTCATAGATGATAAAGTCTAAGAAATTTCATAGATAAGGCTACCATCAAATATATGCTGTTGCTTACCAAACCTAAAATATTCTAAGGAACTTTCATAGTAGAAAGAAATGTGACATTTATCTCTAACGCAGAAGTCAGAGGGACTGAAAGGTGTGACCATACCCCTTATGAAAAAAAAAAAATCCCAAAAGGTCATTAAAATATAGGAGATCTAGCTTTAAACAGGTCAAGCTATATTTCTAGGTCTGAAAAGAAAATTATGAATTATTAACTGCTGAAAAGAAAATGTATTGCAAAAAATTGAGGATAAAATAGAATTGTGTTTATTCACATAAAATCCAAAGGTAAGTAAGTTCCTTTGGATTTAGGAACTGACAGTTTTTAAAAAAGGTCTTCATTTTAAATTTCCAGAGGATTCCTCTTGAAGGATTCACTGATACATTCTGTTACATTAAAAATAATTTATCAACTTCATTATAGGCTGGGCTGGTACTTCACAATATTCTAGAAAGTTAGATACATTTCATAGGTACTAACTTATATTTATTATGCCTACTTTAGCTATTTTTTTATTGTGTTTTCAATACTACAACTCAGCATCATTGTTCCTGTTGTATCATGATGTCACAAGGATGTTGAAAGATTAAAATGGAAAAAACGTAATCATTCAAGGCAATAGTTCAAGTTAAACGTTAAACAAATGAGTCAAATGTACTTATAAACATGGTAGATCAGTTGTATAGAAAAGCCTATGACTTTTTCTTCAGGAGGTGATTTGTTTCTCTAGTCTATTGGCTAAAAAGTTTCAAGCTCCAAGTTTTGGGCTCTGTCATGATAAGCTATAGTATGACTGCATTTATTGACTAGGATATGCCTAGAATAAAAAGTAAGAGTCTGCTTTGTTCCCCAAGGAATCTAAAACCATCTGTTGATAGAAAACATCTGATGCGAGGCATCTACTGTAGTCCACTTACACTACTTTGTAAAAACACAGGACTATGTCACTGGGAAAACAGACATGAAGTAATAGAGATGTCTGTGGTATTTGAAAACATCAGATTCAGCAGTAAAAAGCTGAAATCTCCCCTTCCTTTAATATGAAGCTAAAATTGTTTCTTGGACACCATGTCCTGTATTTGAAGAAAGAACTTAAAATCTAATAATTGACCATAAGTCAAAACAAAAGGAGACCACATACAAGGTCGGAACAAAATAAGCTATCTACATGTTTCTTTATCAAAATGCTACCCAATTCCTAAGATATTTCTATTTACCTGGTCTGAAATTTTGGTTCAAAAAGAAAAATCCTACTTTATAATTACAGACTTGTGATTGTTTAACAATTTATTTCCACTTACAAATCATACCCTGAAAAGGAAAATAATGCACAAGGGCTTTTAACAACTGGAAAGTTACTTGATTGCAATTCTTTTGCAAATATGAATTCCATTTTTAAACTGTAATCAGCAACCTTTTAAAAGCCTCTTTTGTACATAAAGCCAGGCTCCTCGAGCCTGCATCTGTCATAATTGGGTTTCTGAAATCTACATAGCTTGTTCATTTGCCTTCTGTGTTCAGATTCATACAGAATAAAAGTTCATGAAAAGCAAAGATGAAGAGGGAGGAATCATAATATGCAACCTTGCAAACAAACTACTCTTTCCAAAATGTCTGGTAATATTGTATTGCTGTGTCTTGTCATTCCTTTCAGCTGCTGGTAGGAATCATCCAGGCTGCAGAATTGCCCGCCTTAGACATGGGAGGCACATCTGACCCCTATGTGAAAGTGTTTCTGCTACCTGATAAAAAGAAGAAATTTGAGACAAAAGTCCACCGAAAGACCCTTAATCCTGTCTTCAATGAACAGTTTACTTTCAAGGTACTTTTTATAGTTAATACCAACTTTTCTTGTTTTAGGTAAGACTGGCCACATCCAGACACATCCACAAGTAGGCACTGTGTGCTTGCTCACAAGACTTACATTTACTTAAAACTTAAATTCTCATCCTCAGTCAAAGAGGTGCCATTACATTTTGATTTGGTCAAAGTAGGATTCCTCTCAGCCATTTCAGAATATTGGAATAGAAACTAGACAGGATTTTGACATCTTTTCTGCTGAAAGAGGAAGCTAGTTTCAAGCAGAACAATAGACTTGAATATTTCCTCCCCTCTCTAAAATAGATCAAAGGAATTTTTATTCCTTTTCAAAGTTTCTGAAAACAGACTATCATCACAGAACAAGGGAAGTTACGTTTCATTGTTTAAATGATACAAATAGCTACTCCTCTTTGCAAAAGTCTGTGTGTATAGGGCAGTCTGAATCCTCTCAAACCATTCTTAACCTAGCAATAAAAAGAAAGCCAAACATACTGGTTTTGAACATTTCTAGCATTTTCCCTTAACACTAAGCTTATCCCTAGTGTTCACCTTGTTCAGACACCTCAAACAACAACACGAACAAAAAAAGGAACTGACCATAGATGATAACTCAACAGCAAAATATGCCTGGCAGGCCTCAAGCATCTCAGCAAATAGACATGCTGTAGCTCTTTACTTGAAGTTATATTTTTAAAAAAATTAAAAATTAAAAAAATTATATTTTTTAAAAAATTAAAAATTAAAAATTAAAAATCTGTGCAGTGTATATCTTTAATTTGTAAAGTTTTTAATACATTACTTAAAATGACACATTTCTGAAAAATGGAATGTCTGAAAATGCCAGCAGGCTGATTCCGAATCACCCATTCATCAGCCAGCCTTAGCATTAACATATGCCTTGTGTTAGCAAACATACTGGTATGAAATAAATGGAGGAAATTGAGTTCATGAGTCATTTTCTCAAACCTAGTTTCCAGTTTTGAAAAGGAGCAGTATCTTTCTATGTGTACTGAAATTTGAGTTTTTAAGACAGAAGTTCCTAAGGTATTATCAGCAATCCTATTTAAAAATCTATACTTTTTGGGGCTCTCCTTGGTGGTGCATTGGGTTAAAGCACCAAATTATGAAGCTCTCCAAAGCCACTGGAGCAAGATTCAATCCCCCACAGCGAGCTGACCCACATGGCGTGGCATTACTTATCCTGACCTACCCGCTTCTCCCCTCAGCAGTGTATTTCAGTAGGTCTGCCTGTTCTGCTCTCCACTCTGTCTCTGGTGAATCTTCTCACCCACCACACCTCTGGCCTGTACCCCAATCTGTAAGAATAAATTAATCAATCCTTTTTAAAAAATCTATACTTCTTATAACCAGATACTTGTTTTAGAGTAGCAATAAAAATAGTCTGGAAATACTTAGCTTTCAAAGAACTAATCACATTGGTCAATATACCACAAAACATAAATAAAAATAAAATATGGAAAATGTTAATTACAATCATTTTGGCTATGTATTAATCCTAATTAAGTTATTCACCTCTAATCATTATTAAATTATTTGAAATTATATTGCGAGATTTGCTTTTGTTCCAAGTTGCCTATACACTGTTTCTAAAAAATTGTCCTGTATGAAATTTCTAAAAGTTTGCTAGTTTTATTAGTAATTTATGTGATTTCACTATGTATAACTATTGAAGTTTCCTATAAACTTTGACCAGTTCCATGTTATTTCATACATCAGTCCAGATTACAATATACTTTAATATAGATAAGAAACATACTTATCTATAATGTTTCTAGAACTTTGGGTAGTTTCTCCACAGATACTATCTATTCTCCAAATTGACATACCAATAGGTGGGATGATAGAGAAATGAAAGTAGAGTTTAAGAGAACTGTTTGTTTGTTTGTTTTTTAAGATTTATTTATTTATAACTGAGGTACAGGCCAGAGGTTCAAGAGCAGTGAAAGGATTCACCAGAGACAGAGTGGGGAGCAGAACAGGCTGACTGATGAAGTACACTGCTGAGGGGAGCAGCAGGCAGGTCAGGAGAGGTCTGCCGCTCCATGTGGGTCACCTCCAGGGCAGTCAGGGATTGAACTCATGCAGAAGTGGCTTTAGCTTCTTAGTGCTGTGTTTTAACCCGCTGTGTCACCAGGGAGGGCCCATAAGAGAATTGCTTTTAAAATGAGTTCAAATCCTTCCAACAGGAACTTGATACACTCCAAAACTAAATATTGACCATTTTCTCCAAAACAAACTCCCACCTGAAAGAGTTGTTATCATTCAGACAATATTTTAAGTGGCCTCTATTAGCCAACACTGCTCATATGCCTTATATAATCCTCATTCAGGTTCAGTACAGCCCTGTGAAATAGGCGCTAATATCACTGCATGATAGCCAAAGGAGCTGAAGGTAATTCGCTGTCTCAATACAGTTATAAAAGAAAAAAAATGAGAAAGATTGTAGAAATAATAGTTAATCTATTCTCTAAAATTTCTTCTTTTTTGAAATTCATTTCTTTGGAAAAGTTTATTTTAGATTCTGTCTAAAATAAAACATTGCATATTTCTAGTTTTTAGTGACACTATTTTACTCAAGATTCCAAATACATGATAAATGACAAAATACAGATTCATAGATACTTATCTATTGCACATATACAAAATATTCTTCTCCTTCATTTTAATATAGTTAACTGAGTAATGTTAAAGCATAAGACAACTTCTTACATGGATAAAATAGTAGGAAATGCATGAAAAGTGATCAAATCTTCCTTCAGCACAAATGTAAATTTCTTAATTAGGCATCTCTACCCAGTTACTGAAGTGTAGCTTACTTGCATTGCACTGCTTTCTTGAATGTTAAAAATGTCACTCAACATCCCAACCCACAGCATCTGTCCCAGATTGATTGGAACAGCTGGAAAATTCATCAGTCCTTGGCCTTTTGCCACCACTCATCTTAAAGAGCAACCTACCTAAGAACAGATTTCAAGTTCTATATTATAGTGTGCCTCTGATATTCAAAACATGAGTTTTCTAGTCAGTTCTCGTCAATCAGTAAATTATTTTAGGGAGTAGGTGAGGCACTATATAAAATTAATTTAAGTACTTTCAGGCTCCTAGTATATCTTTTAATAAATCACTTCTTGATTAAGCTGTTGTATACAACTATTTAAAAGAGCTAACAGAACTTTTGAAACAAGTTACCTACCCTTGAGTAAGTGATCTCCTAACAACAAAACTTAAAAGAACAACAGAATAATCCACATGAAAAATTTATTTTTGTAGTCAAATTGACTTGATCTAATTCTTGTAAAGTGTTTATAGCATGACTAATACGGGATCTATTATTTAAAATACAGCTTCCGGATTTGGGGGATAAAGTGATAAATCACTGTGACAAGTCCCTGAATTCTGCCAAGTAATTTAAACCTCAAGCATTTAGTGAAATAGCTTGGGGGGGGGGGAAGCATAATCTTTCTTCTGCTTACTTAACACAAATATTAAAATTAAATACTATAAACACGTTTTAAGCCTTTTTAACCAGATATTATATCCTCATCTCTTTTAGGTGCCATATTCAGAATTAGGAGGCAAAACTCTGGTGATGGCTGTGTATGATTTTGACCGTTTCTCCAAGCATGACATCATTGGGGAATTTAAGGTCCCCATGAACACAGTGGATTTCGGTCATGTAACTGAGGAGTGGCGTGATCTGCAAAGTGCTGAGAAGGAAGAGGTAAGAAAAGCATTAGCATTTCCAAAATGACAAGCTGTACTGGCCAGTTACTACTCACATAATAACGTACTGAGAGCTGCTCTTTATAAAGGGTGATATGGGCTTCCAGCTGCTGACAGTTGGCAAAATAGGGTCAGAGGATTGCACAGCCTTGTTAAAAAGCATACAAGCCTTCTGGGTATTATTTGAAGAAAAAAAGAGTTGTGCACCACGTCTATACAACTCTCATGTGTGCACACACACAATCTCTTTCTAAATCTTACAAAATGTCACCCACATCCCTACTTCTTTAAAAGGACAGTGAAAAATCATCTTGCTCTTTGTATTTTTCCATCATCATATTGTTCTTTCTATTAGGTTATGTAGCTATTGAACAGAAATAAAATGGCACTGTTTCTTTGATATTTCTGCAAAATGAAGGCAGTTCGTTGTTTCTCCTGAAGAGATCAGACCATGATGGGTAAAACATCAAATGTAATTCACAATGGTTGAAATTAAATCCATTTTTTAAATGACTCACATTTTTATAGCATTCTTCATTTTGTATTGTCTGCTTTTAATAGTTTAGCCAAGGATTTTTCTGTGATTTAAAAAGGCGAGTTCAATATCCTTAGTGCATTTTAAATACATAAAAATCAATTCTATTTGAGTATGCTATGCATGCCTGGCACAAGTGTTTTTCTCTGTGAATGTCTCAACAGACTAATACCATAAAAGCAAACAACTCTTAGCTTCTCTAAATTCCTAATGCAATTCTTCTCCCATCATTTTTGGGGTTCTGATATGCAAGGCTAATTGCCCAATAGACTACCACTAGCCACAGTCTTTTAAGAATTTTGGGTCCCTGGGATTCTGCAAATTGTGTTACATTGGGCCACCAGGGAAGTTAGAGGTGGGCAGTCTTCAAAGAAACAGCCAAGTCTGTCACTTAGGGACCCATTTGGCGTAAGGATTTCAGAGGTGAGGCTTTTAGAACAGATTGGCTGACTTCCACCCTGAAAGTGAGTTTTATCACTAAGCTAAAAATTATTTGGTTGTACAAAAAGAATCAAACTGAGTTGAACTCTGCTTTCTTTTTAGAAACAAATATACATAACCAAAGAGGGTAGTCAAGATTACATTCTTAGATACTGAGCTACATTTTACTGTAATGTAGACTTTCAAGAACAATTCAGAGCTATGACATGTTTAGATGCTGAGGTTTTATAAGCAGTAGTTCTGCCAGATAAACTACATGACATAAATTTCAACATCTGTAAGAAGGGAAACATCAATCACTCTATCATACTTGCTTCTTCCAAGCCCTCTTCCTAAGAATTGTCACCCTAATTCATCAAAGATATTAATTTCCAAATATTTACTATACATGGCTTATTCCTGGAATTGTGCTAAATGTTTAAAAAAGAAGAGTACAAAGGGTAAACACTGCTTCTGCTTTTGGGGGGATGAGTGTTTTCTCATTTTCCTCCTTCACTCCAATTTCTATTTTGCTTATTGTTAGACTTTTTTTAAGAGGTAAAATGTCATTTTTAAAAATCAAACACACTTGACTTTTAATCCTAACAACTCCATTTATGATAATTTTTTATATCAGAGACCTTGAACAAGTCACTTAATCTTGCCACAATTCAGCTTCTAAATCTAGAAACTAGGCTAATGTTACATATTCCTTATCTTACTTACAAATTAAATAGTGGTACAGATTGAATAGGATAGACTAAGTAATTATAATATAGAAAAAAACAGTCTAAAATCTTTATACAAAATTAGGATAATAAAGATATGAGGGAAAGGTGTAAGAAAGAAATGGTAAGAATATTCAATGTGTAAGATTAAAACAATATATAATGTTATAAGGACAAGTATTTTTGAACCATGGTAAATAAAATTTCAGTCTGAAATTGTGTTATTTTCATGAGATATTTGTATTTTTTTTTGCTTTCAGTTTTTATCTTAGAAGAGATATTTATCCTCCTTAACAGCCAACAGAAATTTGATTCATGTTTCACCTTGTCTATCACTGATATGTATTACTATGACTCATTTTATCTACTGAAAATAATAGGATAATGTAAAATACCTGGCATAGAGTATGGTACGTGACATATGTTCAATGAACAAGCATTTCCTGTTCTCTCTTCTTGACCAATATTTTAATCTCCTCTTTATTCTGTTCTTTTCTATCTGTACCTCCTCTGTTTTGTTTTGTTTTGTTTTTCCATCATTACTATGTTTATTAAAAGCCTTTGTGAGTTATTTTATCTTTTAAGATTTATTTATTTATGCACACAGAACTCGGGTACAGGCCAGAGGTTGCAGGGGCAGTGAGAGGATTCACCAGAGAAAGAGTAGGGGGCAGAACAGGTCAAGTGATACAGTAAACTGCTGAGGGGAGCAGCAGGTGGTCAGGAGAGGTCTGCCACACCATGTGGGTCAACTCTGGGATGGCAGTCGAACTCATGCTGAAGTGACTTTAGCTTCTTAGTGTTGTGCTTTAACCCGCTGTGCCACCGGGGGGGCCCACCTTTGGGAGTTTTTAATAGAAAATAATTATTACAGTTTTTAACTGACATCTTTCCTTTTTGATAGCTTCTTAAGAATAGAAATTTGGAATTTTCAGTTGAGTTACTATTTCCTTTAGTGGGAAACCTCATAAAGCAGATGTTTAACTTACATATTATCTCTGGATGACTAGACCCAGGTAGAAACTTTCTCAAAATAAATGAAGTGAGATTCCAGTTATATTTTGTGTCAGAATAATTATTTATTCTCCCTGATATGTCCTCGCTCCTTTCATACTACTCTCCATTAACTGCAGAATGTTATAGTTGTGTAAATTGAAAACAGATTGAGTTTAGTTCATATAATTTTAAAGAAATTGTTTCTCTATTTTGCATGAGCAGTTCTATTCATGATTTTACTTCTTCCACTTAATAGTGGTATATGTTGTTTTTAATGTCATAATGAATAGAAGATACCAAGAAAATGAGAAAAAAAGAAATGCAAGCTCAACTTTGTTATCTAGGAATAAAACCACCCATCACTGTGATCTATTTAGGTAAAGCCTTCGATTTAAATGGGTTAAATTTAACTCTGAGTTCCAACCCTGTAATTTTAACAGAAAAGACTGGGGTTTTGTTGCCAGAAACCTAAAAGTCAAAAGATAATTAAGCAATTACGTAAGTTAATAAAGTATGACTTATTTTAGTGGTACGTCATATGAGCATGCAAATCTAGAAAAAAAATGGGCAGCAACATTTTCTCAAAGTTACTAAACACACATTAAATATTATATAAAAGGGGCCCTCCCTGGTGGCACAGAGGGTTAAATCACAGCACTAAGAAGCTAAAGCAACTTCAGCATGAGTTCGATCCCCACCCCAGAGGTGACCCACATGGCGTGGCAGACCTCTCCTGACCTGCCCACTACCCCCCTCAACAGTGTGCTTCTCCATCTGCCTGTTCTGCTCCCCTCTCTGTCTCGGATGAATCCTCTCACCGCCCGCACACCTCTGGCCTGTACCCCAGTTCTGTGTGCAAAAATAAATAAATCTTTTTAAAAAAGAATTGTGTAGAAGAGAAAAGCTATGCCAGGAATAACACAGCTCTCACTGTTAGATTCTAACCCTTGGTGAAAATAACTTCAGTGAGGTTTACATTCTGTCTTCATTCTCTTAATAAACATCCTCAAAGACAACTTGCAGATTTATCTTCACTTGTTATTTTATGTTGCACAATTGACTCCTCTTTCCTTTCCCCTACTAATAGATAGAAATAGAATATGACCTTGCAGAATAAGACTTTCTGTTCATTTCTTTGAAACAGAAGTATATACCCTCTGCATTTCAAAAGTTGCTTATATGTAAAACAGTTTTCTTTTTATTGTACCTTTTTAAATATAGGGCCTCAAAAGTATCCTTTCTAATCAGTATATACCATTCTCCATATACAAAAGGCTTCTGAGATCACACACACACCCACACACACACACAACTTCCAGCTATCTTAGTTGAATTTGAGATTTTCTTCTTTTTAATCATTCAAAAGATTTTATGGCACCCACAAGTCAAACCTGAAACTAGACTTCCTATTGGTAGAATGGTCCATTCATTTAAAGCAGTCATTTAATTACTTCAAATGTTATGATTAATATGTATAACTCCCATTTTTTAATAAATTTTATGATCATTTTAGAAAGTGTTTCAGTCCTCCTCCATAGCATCAGGTACTGCATCTTTAAAACATTTAGACCTTTCCTATTTTAGTATTTTGTTCTTATTTAAAAATTTTCATCCCCCAGTGACTTCCACTACTATGTCTTATATCTAATGGTAGCATAAGAAATAGATACAGCTGAGCTACTGTTTTGCCATGTCTGTCACATTTCTTGATGCATAATGTGTTCTTTCCAAAAAAAGAATGCCTATTACCTGTTTTGCATAGAATTTGTTAGATTCTGTAAATAAGATTCTGTAATCCAGTGCAGAGGAGAAAAAAAAATTGATTGCTGACTTAAAACAAGTTGGAACATAATTTAATTAGTACCCAATCAGAAGGGAAGAGAAACTACTTTAGCGCCTTAATAGGAAATCAATTTTGCAAGGGGAAAAAAATCACATTTTTTTATCCTAATTAGAAAAATATTTACTTCACAGGAAAGCTTTTAGAGAATACATATTCAATCAAATAGGAAAGTTTTTTTTCTTCTATGGTCAATTCCTTGATGTTCCTTTGGAATCAGTTAAGGCCGATATTCCTCACGGCTTCTTTATACCCAAATATCATGAAAGAACTGATGTGTTTTTAAGTATACTTAGTAGTCAGATAGTAGCTCATGCCCTCTGAGAATCTCTGTACAACAAATCAATGCCCTGACTAGAAATCCTTGCAAAAGGTTAAGTACTAGAACTATGAACATGATAGTTAAAAGAACCTTCCTTGACATTCAATGTATCACATTAGTGAAATGCAACAAGGATCCTCATTTTGAGCCATAGCAT